TTGGACTAAATCTTGCCTATGTGTGTATACAAAGCTGAGTGAAGTCCTGGGACTCTAATTTACTACTCTAAGGGTGTGCCTACTTGTGCATTTAGACACACCTAAATTTAATGCACATTAGCTTAATGTGCATTAAGGTGATTTAGACTTGCATCTACACGTGCACACATTAAAGCACATTAATGCCATGTGCACGGACTGATGTGGGACTAAAGTTAGTCCCAAATCAGTCTATACATAGTGTTAATGTCCCTTAATGCATCTACATGTGCACTAATGTGCTTTAGCTATTTGTGCCTAAATTTGATACCTTCTGCAGGTATCTAATTTAGGCCCGAATAGCCCAAAATTGCAATTTTTAAGGCACATTAAAGGTGTGCATATGGATGCACACTCTTAATGCACCTTAAATTGGGCTAAAGTGCCTTAAATTGGCACATGTAGACATGCCCCCAGTCTCTTTAAGGTAACAATCCTGTAAACATATGAATAGCTTTACATGAGTATAAATTTAATTGTACACATTGTGTAGATTTAATTGTACACATTAGCACTTGTGAGACAGTCCAAATGATTTTGCAGAGGTAATAAGTACATTTCATTTGACAAAACACTAAAATGAGAGTGTAACTTTTGGCAAGCCAGATAGGACAGAATCATCTATGACAGAATCATATACAACAGAAATTACTGTTGACTACCTCCTGAAAAGTTATTAGCCATACACCTGGAGGTGACAACAGAAAAGTGATTTATCTACAAAAACATTTACTTGCTGTTGTAGGGCAAAAGGACAATAGGATAAACAGGGTGAGCAAGGAACACAGCTGAATACCTGCAGTAATTTATTTTCAAAAGCTTTCAGTAAAAAACAGAATGTTGTTGCTTGCAACCGCTATGCCTGGTAAAGATATATAAAGTGAAAAAAAAAATCTCTCAGCTAAAAATAAGCATCTGTGACCTAGAATACAGCATAAGCTCTGTGTGGGTGCAATGTCAGTCTGTGCTGACTACGTTGAAGGTCTGAGGCCTGAGAGAGGTTTGTGATTCACTGGGAATTCCTGTAAATAGAGTGCAGTAAAATTGTAAAGAAAGGTCACTTTGCTTTAATGCAATATAGGAATGTAACCTACTAGTGAACATGTGGTAACAGTCCTTCTCTGTGCCTTATCATAGGGGGGTTGTCTCATTACCTCAGACTGTAGTAGCTTTTATTTTTACCAGTGGAGGTCCCTGGTTTCCTCCCCAGAATGACTGCCAAGAGGGTGGCTATTACATAAAAAACTAATTGAATGCTGAAGAACAGAAAGAGTTAGAACAACAGGGAATGTCAACATTGCTGCAACTAAAACATCAAAATGCACAGTTCAAAGGGCACTCCACAATACAGCTGAAATCAACTTTAAAAAAAAGCAGCAATTAACAATGTAAATACAATTAATTTGTGACACTGCATCATCTATTTAAAATTCAAGTTGCAGCAAAAATTGGTGCCCCTTATTTGTTATTTTAAAGTGGTCAAAATAATAGGAGATAGTGGCAACCCTCCCCAAAGAGTTATGTTCAGCTTTAGCAGTTGGGCTTATTAACATTTTTTTTTTTAAGTCTTACATAGTTATAGGTCAAGAAGGCCATAGTCAGGTCAAATGGTCCAGACTGAGAGGGAGTAGTTAGAATCTGCCTGCATAATCACTGTAATCATAATCTCACTGTAGAATCAAAACTTCTGCTGAAGTTATAAGAATGAAAAAACTGAAAACATATATGGAAAATTAGTTGTCTAGTCAAGTAACAAAGGTACTGGCTGTTGTTCCAGAAGAAAGATAGGCCATATTGAGAAAGAGATTCACTGCAAGCAAAACATCCGGGAGTGGTAGGACTTGTGACCATTATTTCAGATAGAAAAGTGGAGAACACTCACTACCTGTCATTCAAATTTGTCTCTGTGATTGCTGGTTCCATTTTACTTGCCACTATCTAGTCCAGGGGCAGGCAAAATGTGACCCAGAGGCCAGATGCGGCCCACCAGGCCATTCTATCCAGCCCGTGGGGCCCCTAAAAAATTTAGAAAATTAATATTAATCTGCCCTGGGCTGCCTGTCACGCGGCCCTCGATGGCTTGCCGAAACTCAGTAAGCGGCCCTCTGCCCAAAATAATTGCCCACCCCTGATCTAGCCCCATTTACTTTTCATATCCTACATAGAGCAGTGAGGCTTTTAAGCATGACATGAGATTTTATTGGGTGTGCTCAGTTAGTTTCTCTAACATCTTAACAAAAACACTGAATTCTTTGCTGCTGCTACTCAGTCAGCCAGGGGAAATATTAAAGGGCATCTATACAAGTGCTCTGGGGTGGGGGGAAAGGTGCTTTAATTAGAGCGTCTCTGAGATCCGCTCTAATTAAAGCGCCTTCAGCATCTGTGTATTCAATGCTCACGCTTCAAAATGGCAGCAAAGACAATTTAACTAAAGCTTGTTCAACGAGATTTAAAGTGCCCCTGCCATAACTTTGAAATACAGGGACGCTGACTACACCTGACACGGAGGCTGCTGGAGCGTGCTAATTAGCACGCTCCAGCAGACTCGCAGCAGACTTAATTAGTGGAGTCTGCTCCAATATGTGCTAATTAACATGCATCGGAGCAGAGCTTCATCACATGTATAGGTGCCCAAAACTGAAAAATGTTCTTCCAACCTGAACTCTGAAGTGGAGTTGCCAGGCAAGCAAAAAACTTTGGAAGCTATTTAAATAATCTGTTCTGGAAAAGGTAGTGACAAGGGTGGGGGCAGGTAGAAGTAAAACTACATAGAATGAGCTCCAGATAGGTAAGTAGGCAAACAATGGAGAAAGCCTCCCCTGACAACAGCAAGCCATTGATGGAAGAGATGAATCACTACCACTTGGCCTGTTTTAATGTTAATGTATGTAGAGTACATACAGTGTAGCACTCAGTGTTCTTCTGTACTATAAAACCACTACTGAATAACTGAAATGCAGAATGTAACTCACTTAATTTGTTGAAGCACAAATGAAGTCTGTCTAACTTAAACTGAAAATATCAAAAGGTCATTGTAAACACTGTACCACTTCAACAGGAGTGTCTTACTGCAAGAACCAGAAGTATACGAGAAGCAAACATTTTCCCTGCACTAACTGCTTCAAAATGCAAGAGAAAACAAAAGGCATTTGCAATATACATCAGTCACTGAGCAAGCCTAGCAGAAGAAAACTAACATTTCATTCACGCAAATGTCAAAGTTTGAGGCTACCCACATGCTGTATACTTCAGGGGTCAGGAGGCATATGGGAGGCCATACCATTTATTTCTGAAATAACGAATCAGCAGCAGTGAACAAGGAAAACAAACTCTCTGACAGTGGAACTGGAATTAGAGGATGGAGGAGGAAAACAAGTCATTAACAGAAACTGGCACTTGGTTTTGTTATCTCTTCACATTTTGCTTTCAATTCAAAATGCAGCAAAGGAACTTTCACATTTGACAAGAGCTGACACAGCAGAAACCTGCCCCTTTTCAAGATCAGTTCATTACATTTATCTAAAAGATACATTTATTTTAGAGGTTTATTTGAGCCTGTTGTGAAAAACAAGAGCCTGTTTAGTGCAGCTATTAGAAACACTGTTTAGATGCAAAATCTAAAAGGATTTTGGAATGGTGTTTCTCTTTCTTTTAGTCTCAAATAAAAGACTTATTAACTTCCGTTTAAAATACAAAGGAGAGTCAATTATCCAAACTAATTGGACCCAAACACTGTTCATAAAATCCAATTGTTTGGCTAATGAAACACACACTAAATGAACACACATCGGTGCCATTCTCTGAAGCAAGCCTGGCATCAGAATTGCCTTTTTCAGTTTGTGGGTTATTTCAGTTTTTCCTGTCATTAAAACAGTTCTCTTTCTATTCAATGCCATTATTCTCACTTGTACCATGCACCAGAGGTTGGCAGCACAGCATGCAGTTAGATAAACAGTGTGTGGATAATTCACGTTCTACTGTAATTTTTCAAATATTTTTGCTTTTTCATACTTGCATTTCTCATTCAACATTTTATCTCATCATAGGTACCACTGGATGGACATGGGAAGCTCCTACTGAAGTTACTGCACTTAGACCTACACTGTGCCAGTTAATAAAAAGGATGAAGAAAGAATACTGTGGTTCTTGGATGGGTGAGCCTGTTCCTGTCATGCTGCCTGTCCCTTCAACAAGCCATTGACTTTCACTTACCCTTTTTGAGAAATATAAGACTCCTGGAGCATCTGGAGAGAGAAGTTTCTTGTTCAGGTAGGCAAACACTACAGAAAAGGACCTGGGGGTTACAGCCAACAGTGTGCCCTTGTTGCCAAGAAGGCTAATGGCATACTGGGCTGCACTGGTAGGTGTTGCCAGCAAATCAAGGGAAGTGATTTTTCCCCTCTATTCAACACTGGTGAGACCACATCTGGAGTTGGCTGTGTCCAGTTTTGGGCCCCCCATTACAGAAAGAGTACAGACAAATTGGAGAGAGTCTAGTGGAGGGCAACAAGAATGGTGAGGGGGCTGGCGTACATGACTTATGAGAAGAGACTGAGGGAACTGGGCTTATTTTGTTTAGAGAAGAGAAGATTGGGCACATCTACTTGTGCATTAATGTGCCATAGGTAAGGCACATTAAGTGTAGTACCTGTAATAACAGGTACTAACTGAATACACAGTAACTGGCGCTACTGCACTGTAGTGCCAGTGCACACCTTTTTAGTGATGCTAATGCACAGTACACTAATTCTGTCAGGGGGTGTACCGCCAATCTCAGGGGACGCACGTGTACCCCCTACGTGTCGCCAATGAGTGGAGACCAACTACTGGTAAAGATTTTCCTGTGAACCAGTGGTATTCATCTGGCACAATTTTACTCAAGGTAAATCAGGTGAGGCTCCAGTTTTGTCTACTAGAGGCACTGTCTACATATGGCAAATATTAATTAAAACAATAGCGTATTTTAGTACAAATAGTTACAACAGCTTTTATTTCAGCACGGTTCAGTGAGACGGATGATTTTATCCATGGTAGCATGAGAAGGAAAGACTGACAGGATGACCTGCACATCTCTTCAGTAGAACAAGCTCCAGGGAAGAGTCTGAGGGCAGAATAAAGAGGAGGACTTCACCTGCTGTGCCCTCATTCTGTCCATTCACTTTGCTGTTGACATGGCCCTGGGGCACCTACCTGCTGCCTCCTTCACCCTCACATCTCCATATTGGCTGTGCACCAGTTGGAAAGCAATTAACCTTGAAGAGGAAAACCCCTCCTTGCTGGAGCCACAACAGATCCTTCCTGCTGGACAGACAAAAGTGTCACTGCAGGGAAACCCAACAGAGTCTGTAGTGCTGCTGGTACTACGAGAGATTTTTGGTGGAGCTGGAATCTGAAAGAAAGCCCCATCTGTTATTCTATTTTTTCTAATATTCAATATTGTAAAAACAAGTGTCCAAAATGTTCAATACCCACCCAGATAGACCAAGTCCTATTAAACAACTATATCTGATCTAATGTAATACAAGCTGTGTAATAGGGAAGTCCACTCGGCAATGACTTTAGTAGCAATAATCAGTTATGTGATAAGAAAGGTAGATTGTGTTCAATAACCAGGTGGTGTAAGTGGGACAGAGGTAGCTTGTCACTCATGGGCGGCATCTCAGCCCATAACAGTAATAAGGATAAGATGCCAATGCATACGAGGATCCTGGGGGAAAGTAAAGGAACGGACCGGAGTTTGGCTATTGCTAATGGAAAACATGAATCAACTTTTACCTTCAGAAAGCAAAACAGGAACGAATTGGGATTTTACTGCACAGGAGCGGACTCCTGTACTGTCGAACAGACCCCAGACCACGTCTCAAAATCCCTCGCTTTGCGAGCGCTTACTAGTTTGCGAGCTTCTTTAAAAAAAGGCAGAAAAAAGTGATTCACTGAACTCCGATTTTATGAGAGGAGAAAATGAAAGAGGCGAGGAGGAGCAGAGGACCACAACTGAATACCACCTGGCGAATACCTGGTGTGGCGCTGCGACAACCTGGGGAGATGCTACACCGGTTGTTTAAATCCGTAGTGACGCAGGGCTCCTCTTCCTCGTCCTCGTCTCTTCTCCCCTACACTAGGAACGAGCTCGGCCCTTGGCCAAGGAGGTGGCAGGAGCCCTTTGCCCTCGCATCTCCGGGCTCCTCCTCGCTGCCCACCAGATCCTGCTCACGAAGAAGCACCACGTTCAACACGACTGGGTCCCGGTGTGGACATGTTCACCCCCCCGGGCTGGGCTCCAATTCCCGCGGGACAGGCCCCGGGCTGGCCGTGGAGGAGCCCGAGGGGCCGGGCGGAACGAAGCTGGGCGGAACGGAAGGCGCGGGGCGCGCGCGCGGCGGACGGCTGCGCCGTGGCTCCGCGCTCAGGTCTCGCTGCCGCCCGCGGCTCCTCCCGCGATCCAAGATGGAGGCGCTGAGCCGAGCGGGGCAGGAGATGAGCCTGGCGGCCTTAAAGCAGCACGACCCCTACATCATCAGCATCGCCGACGTCACGGGCCAGGTCGCGCTCTACAGCTTCAGCCCCAAGGCCAACGAATGGGTACGTGCGGGCGGGCCTGGGGCCGCGTCGTGCTCGTCCTGTGCGGGGCCCTGCGCCAGCAGCCTGGGGCTCCGGCGGGCCCCCGGGCCCCCGCGGCGGGGCCCTTCGTCTCGAGGGAAACAGTCTTTTCCTCGAGTGCCGGCGCTGCCTGCCCGTGCAGCGGCCGCTGCTGACAGCCGCGGGGTTGGTGGCCGGGGGAAGGCGTTGGAGACGCGTGTCTCCGCGGGGGCAGGCGCTCCCCCCAGGAAGGTGGAGAGGAGAAAGTCTCGGTGCCTGCTGCGTTTCCCGAACAGAAATGAGCCATGTGAGCTGGCGCTCAGAGTTTCTGCTGAAGTTACAGAGGTTCACAGAGACTGGAGCTGGCGGGCTTGTGCCTCTCTTCCTTTCCAGACCCCCCCCCGCCCCTGCCCACCTCCGCTGAAGCAAGTGTAGCTTCATACACACGAGTCCTCAGTTAGGAACAGGCTCCTGTGAAAGCCCTCCTTTTGCAGGGGGGGGACCACAGTGAGGTTTTCTTTTCATTAACTTTTAGTGTTTAAAGCAGGGGTCAGCAGCGTTTTTGGGCAAAGTGCCCCAAACACCTGTAACCTCGGTTCGTAAAATGTTGGTGTGCCAGGGAGAGAGAGCGTGGGCACCACCAGGGGCCCAGTCCTTGTGGCTGTGCACACCTGGCCCCTTCCCCACCCTTCGCCCGCAAGCATGCGTGCCAAGCAAAATGCCTTCACGTGCTACACTCTGGCACCCGTCAGGGGTTTCCTATCCCTGGTTTAAAGCAAAGTCGTGATGAATGAGTAGAACGAGATATCTGTGAACGACTCGGAGAGAACAAACTGTATGCTGACTTGACAGCAGTTATATGTGAATCGCCATTTAGGTCTTCTTACAAGACAGTGTATATTCTTCTGGTTGTTTGCAGAGTTAAATGTATCCTCATCTGCCCTAAAATGGGATTTCCAAGGAAAACTCCGAATTTTTCCTTTACCCGTTTGGTTTGCACACGAGGGAATTGCAGGATACTACTTATTACTAACAAGGGAATAATATTGTTCATGCAGGCCAAATGATGTATATAACCACATGTTGCCTAATAGTTTTTAGGAAGATATGTGAAATGCAAGAGAATTATACTCTGTCCCTTTTGAGAAGGTGGAATCAGTTTATCATGATTTTAGTCAGCAAGCTGAGTAACTCTGTAAGCAGACATATAGTTGAAATAAATCATTGCTGTCTGTTGTAGGAGAAGACTGACATAGAAGGTACCTTGTTCGTATACAGAAGGTAAGGTATTTTATGTAACAATATTTTTTTTTTGTATATAACTGTTTTGTTGATCTTCAGTCATGTTTAACTTTCCAGCTATACTGGTTTCTGTTGTCCAGAAAAAAATAATCTCCAGCTAATTCTTTTTCAAAAAAGAAATGTAGTACCTAAGCACAATTCCTATAAAAAAAAAAACCCAGAAGATTTTTTCAGGAGCAGTCTTGACACAATTACATAGAAGTGGAAAATTTTAATTGGGCTATTTTGGTAGAGCATGATCATTCACTAGTATATTCTTCTGTGCCGTAAGTGACTCAATTGATGAGGCTTTCTCCCCTTCTTGTAGTTCAGAAATTCCAGATGATAAACGTTAGCATAATTTATATAATTTTTAAGTCCATACAGTTTAAAAGCCGCTAGTTTATGTATGAGCAGTTTTGGGTGTTTTTGATGAGGTTATTGAGTGACCGTGAGCAACATGGCCAAATACTTCTTTTTAGTAAGAGTTAATGTAAATATAACCAATGATTTAGACCTACCCCAAAAGCAAATCAGTAAGTTTGCAGCCTTTCGTTGTTCCATTGTATGTAAGAAATGGGAATGAATCCACCCTTCCTGAGACACAGCCACCATTTAGTATTTTATTTGAGTCACGCGGTCAAGCGGTTTATATACTTAGTTTTCATGGACTTCACTTGCATCCCAATAATATGAGCACTCAAGCAAATTGAATAATTTTTTACTACTGGTTGCAGGTCTAAATATTTTATTTGAAGCTATTCATGATAGTAAAATAAGTACTGTGTATATTTAAATCTTGAGATTAGCATGTTTGGCCCTCTAAGGAAAGTTTGCATTTCACTTTCTTAAACTTTAACAGGATGTGGCCACGGTGCTGTTGAAATGTTAACCTTTCAAACAGTTAATCACATCTGATAAGAATAGAGTAGATTTACGCTCGATTCCCAGCCTGCCTCCCTGCTCCCCCCCCCCCCCACATAGGCCCCGACGGGAAAAAAACGAATGACCCATAACGGGACAAAAAAAAAAGCCGTCCTAGTGCTACAGTGTTACTTGTACAGTACGTTTTAACGGCATGGCTAAGCATGCTTATAGTGTTCATGTGATTAAGAATTTTAAGGAGACAAAGATGCAGCCTTTGTCTTGAGATTGATTGGTTTTGTTTTCAAATTGGAGTCCAAAGCAAATCTTACACAGAATATCTTTTATACTATTTGTTAAAGCAGTTTTTCTTTGGGGTTTTTTTTTTGTTTGTTTGTTTTTTGTTTTTTTTTTTAAAGGAACTATACTCCCTTTACAGGTCTGCTCTGAACTCTTATTCTAGATTTTAATGGAACTGCACCTGTTTAAGGTAGGGGTAAATTTGACTTGAAAACATTGGGCCTTTTGATGTGACATTCTGCAACAGGGGCCAAAGCCCACCAAGTAGAGGTATAAGCCCCCCTTGATGAAGGGGACCACTAAGGTCATATCACTGATTGCTTGGGATAGCTAAAGAACAAAACGGGGTTGGGAGTGAAAGTCATGGGTTCAAATTGAGTGCATGAGGGGAGGAAACCAAGTGGAGTATACCAGCCGGTGCCCACTGGCCCTCAAACGAGTCCAAGGAGCCAGTGGGCACTGCCCAGTGAAACTCTGCTCAGTGATGTGAATGGATGAGGGACAGGAAAACAGCTCTGCAGTCCCTGGGAGTTCTCCTGGCCAGAGCCTCCATCCTGGTTAGGTATATTGCCAGCTTCGTTAACTGAAGACATTAGGAGACTGATGGGATCCAAGTTCCATCGTGGACCATGAGACTGTTCAGGCTAGAGGTTGGACACTCCTGAGTTTTAGTTGTGGCCTTAGCAAGATTTGCTGTATAGCCTCAGGCAAGTCACTTTATCCTTCTGTTTTGGTTTTCCCAACACGAAAATTGGCACATTATTTAAGTAGCCTTCTGGGGTTCTTGTGAAGATTACCTGGGGTATTTAAATTGTTTTCTAAACTTTAACTGCTGGTGCACTGGTAAATTCTTTCTTTGGCAATGTCCAGGTCCTCTGAGTGACCTGGTAAGTGCAGGAAACGTGTAAGAGACTGTTGCTTATTCCAGGAAAAGAGAGCCTGATTGAAAGTACAATGAAGTTGCTATGTCTTTCTTTTGACTTCAGTGGACCTGGAATAAGGCCCTTGGCAATGATCTAGTCATGAAACTTACTTGTTTATATCCCTGGTAGGACACACACTTTGCAAAGACTTAGGCCCTTGCTTACTTTTACATGCTCTGTGAAGTAATACTTGGAGTACAAAAATCAAGTTAATTCATAATTAATTTCAGGATTGTAATTAAGCGTGCCCTAATTGATGGTAAATCCTTTTCTGAATCCTACATAGCTCCTGACCTCAGTAATATATTGAAGCACCATGCTCAACAACTTAAATATAAGCCTTGTATGTAAAACACTATAATTAAAATGAAAAAAATAAAAAATTATCTTTTAATTTGAGTGAGTCTTCTTGAATTTCTTGTACTTAAGGGCTATATCTGGGTTACCTTGCCTATCTATTTTGCTCAACTGCAGTGTTACCTTTTTTAAAAAGCCTTTTTTATGAAGATTAAAAATAGTTTTGACTTTTTTCCTATATCGCTTTGGAAACAAGTGTAACGTCACATATTTAAGACTTCAGATGTTTATTATATGCTCTTCTTTGACAATTTTTTCAGTATATATTTGTTTAAAGCTATAACATTGTTTCAAGTGAGTGCGTTTGGTTGTCTTATGCAATAGTTTTTGCTTTGGGATTTATATTAGTTATAAAAGTATGCTATATATATACTAGATATGTTTAGAAATGCAGCTTCCAATAAATGTATCTGTCTCTTGGAACAGACTTATCTGAAGGGAAGAATAGCGGTGTTAGTTATGCTTAGTTGAGCCACCTAAGTTTGTCTAAATATATTGTGAAGCAGGCTACCCTTACCATTATTAAGAACTGTACTGTTAGTTTAAGTTTATTATTTGAAAGCATAGCACATCTCTGCTGCCTTGTTATCTCAGAGTATAACTTGAATGTTACCTTGAACATGACTCCTAACAGTACCCAAAACCCCCAAGTGGAGTTGGTTAACTGGTATATAAAGCTTGGAGCTTGTGCCACTGAAGTGTGAGGGTAGAAAGCACTGGGGACTTAACTAAAGATGTTTACAGTTTGTTTATTAAGTGGAAATATGATATGCGTTGATCAAATTACTCTATTCTCAGTTACTCTCTTTTCATTGAAACAACAGGTCAGCTTCT